CTCCATTACTAGACCTAAGAGTATTAAGACTATAAGTTGATAGAAAAAGTAAATTGACTTGTATTATAGCTGATTACTGTAAAACATGTCCTTTTCGCGAATTTAGCGAGAGAACTTGTTTGCTAATTTAAGATGTCGCTAATGACTATATTATAAATTCAAAATGACCAAGGCTTGGGGATTTGTATACAGTAATCTGGAACATAAAAATCTGGGGCGCTTCCTTATTACACTTGTTCTTTGTTTTTATGGAGGTGATAACTGTGCATTTGTTTTAGCATGCGACAGACAAGTATTGCGAAAACAGGAAGTCAACAATGACAAGAGAGATTCGCTAAATCAACATTTGCTATTACGTCATTTTACCACAATTCGCTAAAATTGCATGTCGCTTTTTCAACATGTTTTACAGTAATTTTTTTGGCAAATCGTGGTCATCCATATGAGGTGTATTTTGTGTTTTAGAATATATAATTTGTTGACGCCAGAAGTTCAAAAGTCACTGCGATTTGAAAGTTGGCAATTTGATAACTGTTTATAAAATAATCCATCTTATTACATATGTACTACAGTTTATTTTGATTCGTCCCTGAAATCAAAATCGGTATTTCTACACCTCATATGCAAATGAGTTTGAAAGCAAACAAATTAGTTCCTTTAGGAGTACTGTTTTTCGAAACATAGCAGAAATAAACAATATTTAAGAAGTGCGATATTTTTCTCTTGGGGTACATGAATATACTTGCCGAGTGGAATGAAATTTGAACAACAGTAACGATCCTCTTTGGCAGTCACTTATTTTGACAAAAACTAATTTGCATATCACCCATGCAATAATGTTTTCGGTATTTTCACGGTCTATATGCAAATGAACATGGTATTTCCATTGGCTACTGAACTATTTTTATTTTGTAAACACATTTTCGTCTGCTATTTTTGTAAGATTCAAATCGTTCAGCAACGTTTTTGGCATGTTAGGTGTACATCTCATGGAATACTACGATTGGGAGAACTTAATGTATGTTGACCACCTGGAAACTGAGTTTTATAAACCTTGAACGGCTCTCGGAAGATCCACCCGCCGTAAAATCAGCGATTACACATGTACTATTGAACCGCAATCATCAACTGTGGTGTGTCCCAAATAAACGTCCACGAATTATTCATTTTGACAGTGACTCAGATTAGACGTCTGATTATTTTAATTTCAAACAAATAGTGACACGCGTTCTCAGGGCGCGTTCTACACTGACACGCGTTACTTGGGCGTAATACTATACTCAGTGTTTGAACATATTAATGGGCAATGGGGTATCCAACCTAAATTCCATGCCGGTTTGTTGCACGTTCTTTCTTTGATATGAAATGATGCGGTGTATTCGAGATGCGGTGTATTCTGCTGTACTTTCACTGTACTGTACTGTACTTTTGTATTAATCACACTCCATATAGACAAACCATAGAATCTTGCTCTGATTATCATGTATAATTCCAAGGCATTCATGTGTTTAATTTAGATGTCCACCAATATTAGACATAGTATTGAAAATACTGACTTCGTACTTAGCTGCTTCTAAAGCTTACCTCATTAACCATCTGCAATCAACTCCCAATCTAAATAAGAAATCGGATATGACGACAAACCCTATGATGACTGATGTGGAAAGAGAGGAATTGAAAAATGCATTAATATCGGCTCAGGAGAGTGCAGCAATACAGATACTGCTGGAGATATGTCTACCAATATCTGCCGAGAAGGTACATGTAAACATGTGGTATTTCACCTGTTTAATGCACACTTAATAAGTCATTAAGTCAAAATGATGTACAAAGTTATTAGCAATGCTGTTTGAACAGTGTTTTTTTATGACGAATGATTACAGACCATACAAGATCAATTCCTTATACTCATTTACATCACAGATACATGGTTGCATTTTCATTGGTGATTGGTACTTTTATTCAATTTCTATATTTTAGGTTGTGGATGGTTCTTTAAGTGTACTACGTGAAGTTCAATGTCAAGTTTGTTCACTTTTACATCAGATGTTTATTGCTGACCCCAATATTGCCAAGTTAGTCCACTTTCAGGTAAACACTTTTTTGTTTGTGAGCATAGACTTCATCCGATTCTTTCCTGTCTTCATCACATGTCCTGACTCACTTGAGTCTTTTCTGTCGCCAACACACTTGAGTCTCTTCTGTCATCAACACATGTCCTGACTCACCTGAGTCACTCCTGTCTTCAACACGTCCTGACTCACCTGAGTCTCCTCTGTCTTCAACACGTGTCCTGACTCACCTGAGTCAATCCTGTCCTCAACACATGTCCTAACTCACCTGAGAGTCTCCTGTCTTCAACACACGTCCCAACTCACCTGAGTCTCTTCTGTCTTCAACACATGTGCTGACTCACCTGAGTCAACCCTGTCTTCAATACATGTCCTGACTCACCTGAGTCTCTTGTCTTCAACACATGTCCTAACTCACCTGAGAGTCTCCTGTCTTCAACACATGTCCTAACTCACCTGAGAGTCTCCTGTCTTCAACAGATGTCCTAACTCACCTGAGAGTCTCCTGTCTTCAACAGATGTCCTGACTCACCTGAGAGTCTCCTGTCTTCAACACATGTCCTGACTCACCTGAGTCACTCCTGTCTTCAACACGTCCTGACTCACCTGAGAGTCTCCTCTGTTCAACGTATGTTCTGACTCACCTGAGTCATTCCTGTCTTCAACAGATGTCCTGACTCACCTGAGAGTCTCCTGTCTTCAACACATGTCCTGACTCACCTGAGTCACTCCTGTCTTCAACACGTCCTGACTCACCTGAGTCACTCCTGTCTTCAACACGTCCTGACTCACCTGAGTCACTCCTGTCTTCAACACGTCCTGACTCACCTGAGAGTCTCCTCTCCTCAACGTATGTCCTGACTCACCTGAGTCACTCCTGTCTTCAACACATGTCCTGACTCACCTGAGACTCTCCTGTCTTCAACACGTCCTGACTCACCTGAGAGTCTCCTGTCTTCAACGCATGTCCTGACTCACCTGAGTCACTGCTGTCTTCAACAAATGTCCTGACTCATCTGAGTCACTCCTGTCTTCAACACATGTCCTGACTCATCTGATTCACTGCTGTCAGTGTCTTCAATTGTATGATGCATTCTTGAGCATTTGGGTGATTCTTTATCTGTACCTTCTAACTCATCAAAAAGTGTATTTGAATTGAATCTCCATTGCCTTTAAATTGATATTTGAACTTATCTGATTTTGTCATGATATCTTATCTCCATAGGGTTATAATAGTGAATTATTACCAGTGACAGTAGCTGGCATTCCATCCATGCATATATGTCTTGATTTCATAGCTGAGTTACTCAGTCAGCCTCACATGGAAAAACAGGTAATGTACAAATTATTTTTATCGTATAATCATGGATTTTATATTGCATGAGTGGCATTAACGTATATTAAAAAAAACATGTAGAGGATATGATATAATTTATAATTCTGTTTGAACTTTTTGACTACCATGTGCGAAGCACAAAATGGGAGTCTTTGCAGTTAGTGTGTCTGTATGTGTGTGTGTATGTGTGTATGTGTGTATCTGTGTCCGACTGTTCCACTGCTATCTCAAGAACCATACATCGGTTTTTGATGAAACTTGGTGCATAGATGCTCTGGGCCAATGCGCAGATTTGATTAGGTTTTGGTAAAAATCCATGCTCGTTAATTACCTAATTTGCATGATAATTAGCTAATTTTTAGCTGTTCTATGACTGTTCCACTGATATCTAAAGAACCACTCTTTGGATTTTGATGAAACTTGGTACATATATGCTCTGAACATATGCGCAGATTTGATTAGTTTTTGGTAAAAATCTGTGCATATTAATTACCTAATTTGCATGATAATTAGCTATTTTTTAGTGGTTCCATGACTGTCCACTGATGA